CTAATAACAGCAATGTTTTTTACTTGTTCATACGACATTAAATCATTCATTTTTCCTCTTTCATGTAATTCTTTTAAAATAGCATTTTTAATTAATTCATTATGAAGATTTACATTAATAATATTTTTGTCTTTGATCCATTTTTGAACATAATCATCATCTAAAACTACAAGTGCAACTGGAAAATTTTGATAAGAATTTCCATATATATAAATTTGATTAACGAACGAAGATCTTGAATAAACATTTTCGATTTTTTCAGGTGCTATATATTCACCTTGAGATAATTTCAATATATTCTTTTTACGATCAACTATTTTCAGTCTATTATTTTTAGTCCATTCACCAATATCCCCTGTGTGAAGCCAACCTTGTTCATCAATAGTTTTTCGTGTTTGTTCTTCATCTTTTAGGTAGCATTTAAATACAGCTCCACTTTTAATACATATTTCACCCACTCCATTTTTGGTATAATATTGTTTTTCATGTACATCAATAAGTTTAAGATAATTAACCGTCGTCGGTATGCCTATATCGGAATACCCTGGAACATCTTTTGCTGTCTGCCAACAACCTAAACAAACGACAGGATCGCTACATAGAATTGATTCTAGTATCGTTCATTATCAACACGAGTTTGGAATTCTAATCAAAGTTAATGATACACCTAACTGTAATGCACCTGCAATAGATAAAAAAAATATTTTTCTTCTTCTTTAAGTACTCCTGTCTTAAGCGCGTTCAGAAAACGTCACTATTTTTCACAATAATGTCATCAGCAGAAAATAATTTCAAAAACGTTCAAAAAAATTCGATGCACGCTTAGGCTCAATTCATTGCAAATTCTACACTTAAAAAATAAACTGTAGATAATGATATACGAATAGTTAGTGTTATGACATACTGATTTTTACTAACCTACTATGCATTCTGTTTGTCCATATGCCTCAATAAAAATACAGGAAAACATTGCTCGAGTAAAATCAGCCACATCAGATAATAATGGCGCACTTCCACAAACAACACGATCAACTTGACCTCCAAAGTTTTTTCTGATTTTGTTAAACACTAAATAATCCCAAATGGTGTTTTGTTTTAAATTGTTGCGACGAATTTCAGCAAGTTTTCTTCTGATGGCTAACTGTACAAGTGCTCTGGTAAGAAAACCTTTCTTTGTTGTTTCACTCATCACTTTATCATATAATTTGTTAAGTAAACGAGGTACTATTGGCAAAATTGTTGGTTTAAAATCGCGGAAATCATCCATTAATTTGACAACACTTCCTTGCCAAAATCCAATCGTACCTCCTAATACAAGCCGTGCAAACAACTTTAATTCAAATTAATCATATAGCAACCTCAGTTAACGTTCCTGTGGAAATCTCGCAGGAGCCGTGCAAAAATGAGAAATTCTACTGGATCTTCTTAGGAATCCTGTTGGAATGGTACGAATCTCCTGTTTCGACACGAGTCACCAAGGATCTTGGTGCAACTCTCGACAAAATTCTGTGAGGGTCATGCGTACTCAAAAAGTCTGGATTCAGAAACCCTTTGTGACTTCCACTGAAACTACGCAAGTTACATTCACCATTTTATTTTTTCGGGACGCATAGTATATCAGAACTGCTAATGCAATGACAAATTTTTGAAGCTTTTTTGTCACATACGTGGTTCGTTACTAAATGATCCGCTTATAGTAGAGACCCAGTGTTTCCAGTTTGCGGTATGAATCGGTATCGGTTCTAACCGAACAGGAACCAACTACGGTGAGAACGAGTGTACCGATTCACATTTGTTCTGCTAATTTTTTGATGAGAACGGGTGATTCGGTACAGATGATTACGTAGTCTCAACTTTCATGCGAAGAAATAGATGAAATAACGCAATGCTAACTTAAAAATGGAAAACAAATAAAAACGTTTTGTTAAAGCTAACAACTCCTACGAGATTATTGACCACGAAAAATTGTTCAAAGATCTTACCTACAAACGTGACACATATACAAGTCATATCTATAAAAAGATAAAAGACGCAATTTAAATTGTAATGTAACTGTAATATCTACTCACATCCAAACAGATGAGCAAGAGGCATAAAATTTAATACACGTGGCACTTTATCACCCGTTAAAGATATTATGCCTGCTGCTGTACTCATTCCAACCACTGAACATATTATCTGCTCATGAGTAATTACACACCCTTTAAAATAAAAGTCAGTTTATGTTTTAGGTATTTGTGATAAAGTGAAGTGTCTTCTTTTTACCTTTTGGTTCTCCTGTTGAGCCACTTGTATACCTAACATATGGAAAGGAAATCTTTAGAAAATAAAAAAGAAAAGATTTCCGTATTGTTTGACGTACATGACTATTGCCGTATCATTTGGTTTTGGTGGAACGGGTTCATGTCTATTTTGCTGGCCATATTTAACTAATTGATCATACGAAATAAGTTTAGTTTGTTTTTGTTTTGCTAGTTGTCTCAAATCATCGGTGGGTTCTAATAAACTGATAATTAGTTTTAATGTCCATGTATCGTTTTGTTTCCATTCTAATAATTTTCTAACACGTTCTAATTCATCAGCAAATATAATTTGTAATTCAGCATGTGCAATAATGAAATTAAGTCCATCTTTGCCTACTGAATCATATAATCCAATGGATACAAATGAAAACGAACATAATGAATATAGAAACATAGCGTAGTGAACATTTGTGGAAGCATAAATTCCAATAAATGTATCATTCGATGGTTTAAATCCTAAATGAATTATTCCACTACCGACTTCATGCATAGTATTAAATACTTGCTCGTACGTATAGTTTTGAAACTGATCATCAGATGATGTTCGATAACAAAATAATGGTTTTTTTGCACTTAAACTAACACCATGTTTAATTACCTCGTAGACTGTTTGAACATTTAGTGTCCTGTAATCTTTTAAACCTTCATTAACACAATCGAAATTAACATAAATATTCTCAAATTGGTCAATTTCAACGGCATATGTTTGACGTGGTTTTATTTGATTTCGTTTACGAAAAATGTAAAATATAATTACAATGATTGTAAAAGCGACTATAGCTGTTGGTATCATTATCAAAAAACTACTAAAAGCTTTTTGATCCCACTATTTCTCTGCAAAAACAGCAAAAAGTTAAAATTACTTTAGGGTGTAATAAGTATTTATTGACAAAAATAAATCATAATCATTTCATCTATTGTGTTAAAAATATCACACTTCCTTTTTATATGAATTATGCAACAATTGTTTTAAGCATCAATTGCTTAAATAAGATGATGTCTTAGAATTACATCTACAGTGACTCACTCAATATCAAATAATAAAAATTTCAACTGAAAGACTCGAATGTTCAAGATCAGCCAATTAAAACTCGATAAATTAAAAGTCTAATAGTGAAACATTTTTACTAAACTATTACCATCTATCATACAAAAACATCATACTGTGGACATAGAGCATCTATATTGATCCTGTACTAAGACATCATTTCTCTTTGTCAGTTGACAAACGCCTTCTTCTTCATACGAAGGCGATTTATAAGGTATTGAAATGCTTTTTTTACTTGTTGATCGTCACTTTTTCTATTATGAATAAGAGATAAAGAACAGAACCGAAATATTTGCTCCATTACAATAGTGAAAAAAAAATGTGAAGGAGACAGAAATATTTTTAACAGTCAGCTAATGTAAGTTTATATGAAACAAGAAGAATAAAAGAAGAAGTATAGCATGGCTATGCGAGAAATGATTACTTTTTTTTTTTTACTTAATGTCTTAATTTCTATTTATTGTGCTATAAACAAAAAAAAAAATCATACAGGATGCAGAAATATACAGAAATATAGACTTTTCGTAAAAGGTCTATACTAGTACATGCACATGGTTGAAGCTCTTTGAATCTATATTATGTTTGCCAATATTGAAGATTTATGGGGTTTAGAAGATGTTCCAAGAGGCTTGAAAAACTGATATTTCAGGAAATTTGAGCACCAAAAAAGAATTCCAGTAGTACAAGTTTATCAATAATGGTTTCTGATTAAAACGGGACGTCTCTCAGCTCGAAACAATGGATTGATAAAAATTTACGACAGATTTATTAAGAGACTCAAAACTTGTACCGCACAATGGCTTCACCATATTTCAAAACAAATTCTCTGTAAGTGACTAACATCGTTGTAAAAATTTTTCGCCGACTTAACCCTAGTACTACCAGCCTCTTTTAAGCGCTATACTGGCAACGTATGTTTTTATAGAATGATTTTTTTACTCTTGCATCAGTGTCCTATGAATATGTGTAGGAAATAAATCATATCCCATCTATTAAAAAATAATCGTTTTTCATAATCACTTTTATAATAATTCAAGACAGTTTTATTCAAACTGTATGAGAAAAAGAAGTTTTCAATCTAACGGGTGGCGCATAATAAACAGGACACTTTTGTTCTTTATGTTTAAGCCGCTCCCGAACCATCTGAAAATCTGGTTCTAGTCCCATTCGATAGAGAATTGAATTCTCTACAGAACCTGCTTTTTGAATCTTTTGATAGCATTTTGTTCGTTTGAGCACCACTCAAAATACTGCATAGTACTAAATTCTCGAACTGCGACACGCTGAAAATAGAAAAATATTTGCCTTGATCCCAGAACAGATTCCATAAGAATTTTGAAAACATCAGAAGATTCACCGGAAAATTCTGTATCTTCTCACACATTCTTCGAAATTCTGCAGTTAACTCTTCTACGAAAATTTCTGTTTGCAAAAAGATGATAAATC